TCTCCCCTGTCACTGTCCCTGTCCTGGTCTCTCCTGTCTCCTGTTCCTGTCCCTGTCTTGGTCTCCCCTGTCACTGTCCCTGTCCTGGTCTCTCCCTGTCCCTGTCCTGGTCTCCCCTGTCCCTGTTCCTGTCCCTGTCCTGGTCTCCCCTGTCACTGTCCCTGTCCTGGTCTCTCCTTGTCTCTGTCCCGACCTCTGCCTGACTCTGTCCTTGGCCTTGGGGTCCAGGCTATCAGGGCGTCTGGGGCGCTCAGAGAGCCTCCGGGTGAGTGACCGCCGCCGACCTTCCCGGGGCAGCCTCGGGGCTAAGGGCCGGGGTGGGGGCCGCTCCCGGAGCGACGTGGACATGGACCCCGGCTCCGCCACGGCCGTGCTTGGCCCTACCCGACGAGCCACGTACGTCACTTCCCCCTTATTGGCTGAGGAAGCTTAGCGAGTTGGGAGGTGGTGGGTTGATGCTAGACTCTCAAGAAAATAGACAGCCAATGGCTGAGGTTGCTGAGGGCAAGCTACGGACAGCATAGGCCACTGAGGAGTTGGGAGGGGCCACTGCTGTCCAGAGAACTGGGGGTTGATTGGTCTGCATCATGGGCTGCCTAGAGGCGTCAAATGTTGAGGCCACAGAGGGCTTATAGGAGCAAGGGGCTCTCCTGGGTTACTCCAGGCTATAGCCTAACAAGGCCTCTCTCCACAGCCCCGAGCCTGGAGATGATGGGGAACCAGGACGGTCAGGCCTGGAACTGGAACCCGAAGAGCCTCCCGGCTGGAGGGAACTGGTGCCCCCAGAAACCCTGCTCAGCCTGCCCAAAAGCCAAGTGAAGCGGCAAGAGGTCATCAGTGGTGAGTGCTACCCCTGAGTCCTGCAGCAGTCAGGGATGCCATGCTGGCTGAGGCAGAGACCTAGAGTGTGAGAGCAGCTACTTCCCAGTGGAGAGCAGCTGGCTGCATGGCTGCAGGAGAGACTCAGTGAAAGCCAGGGCCGCTGTCAGAGTCCTGCTTCCAAAGACAGTGCAGCAGCTCAGGCAGCCACTCTTATCCCTGGGGATAGCCTGGGGAGGGTCAGGGGGTCAAAGGGAAAGAGGATCAGAAGCTCGAGGCCAGGACCCAGGAGGTAGCTTAGTGGGTAAAAGGTGCTTAGGATCCACCTACATGCTGGGAGAGAGCCACCCCTACAGGGTGTCCTCCGACCTCCACAGGTGTGTGTGTGCATATCCTGTGTGTGCGTGCGCGTGCGCGTGCGTACACATGATTAATGTAAGTTTTTAAAGAAGGATGTTTACTTTAATCTCAGCCCTTGGGAGGCAGTAGCAGGTGGATCTCTATAAGCTCCAGGCCAGACTGGACTACATAGCAAGTTCCAGGACTACATCGAGAGATTCTGTCTCTAAAAACAAAGAAAAAAGGAGCCAGAAACAATAAGAAACTGCTTCCCCTCTGTCCTTCTTAGGCTTTTCATTTTCAGCTTTTTGTTTGTTTTTTTTGTTTGTTTGTTTGAGACTAGGTTTCTCTATGTAGTCCTGGCCGTCCTGGATCTCACTCTGTAGCCCAGGCTGGCCTCAAACTCACAGAGATCTGCCTGCCTCTGCCTCCCGAGTGCTGGGATCAAAGGTGTGTGTGGTGCACCATGCCCAGCCATTTTCAACTCTTTTGTTTTTAACTTAATTTGTTTATTTTTATTTTATATGTATGGTATTTTGTCTGCGTATGGGTATGTACTCTGGGTGCCTGGTGCCCTTGGATCCCCTGGGGCTCTAGTTACCGATGGCTGTGAGCTGCCATTTGAGGGCTGGAAATCAGGTCCTCTTAGCTGCTGAGCCATTGCTCCAGCCCCTCAGCCTTTGGTTTTGTTTGTTTGTTTGTTTGTTTTGTTTTGTTTTTTAGTAGAATCTTATAGGCCAGGCTGGTTTCCAACTTCCCATGCAGTTCAGGGAGGCCTTGAACTCCCGATTGTCCTGTCTCAACCTCCTAGGTGCTGGGATTACAGTTGGGTGCCACCAGGACTGGCTCTGGCTTTTGTTTTGTAGCCCAGGTTGGCCTGGAACTCCTTTTCTCTCGGCCTCCTGATTAGCTGGGCCTGCAGGACTGCACCTTCAGGCCTGACTTAGCTGTGGAGCTCTTGAAGTGTGGTGGCCACGCTGAGAACTGCACCTTGTGTTTCGTTTACATTTTTGATCACTAAGAGGGAAATAGCAGCATGTGGCCAGTGACTACCCCATTAGGTTGTACAGCTGCCTCTCACCAGGAAAGTAAATGTTCAGAACAGCGAGATGGTGGTGCAGGCCGGCAAGCCCAGCTCTTGAGAAGTAGAGCAGGAGAGTCAGGGGTTCTAGGTTACCTTCAGCTACAGAGCCAGCTCAAGACCAGGCTAGGCGTCAAGAAACATGACCCCCTACACACACACAGACACATGCTCACACACGCTCATTCTCTCTCTCTCTCTCACTCACACACACACACACACACACACAGACACACACTCAATCTCTCTCATACACACACTCAGTCTCTCTCATACACATACACACTCAATCTCTCATACACACACACACACACACACACACACACACTCATTGTCATACAGTGTATTTAGTCTCAGCAGACTTGTGTGCCCCTGAAACTCACTGAGGTACCCAGTGGCTGGTTGGGTGTGGAGGACTGGGTGTTGTCCCCTGGACCTGAAGCTACCAGTCTGTATTGGAATCATTGTGTGAGGCCAGACATCTATATTCCCAACACCCAGAAGTGAGGTAGAAGGAACTTGAATTCCAGGCTAGCCTGAGCCATATGAGACCCTGTCCATAAGTAGATAAGTGTGTGTGTGTGTGTGTGTGTGTGTGTGTGTGTGTGTGTGTCTGCCTGCCTGCTTGCCTGTCTGTCTGTCTGCCTGCCTGCCTGCCTGCCTGTCTCAGTGGCTACATAAGGCAGTAATGACCACCCAGAGTGTGCTCTGACCTCACCAACTTCTAGGGATCCTTCCTCAACCCCTCCATTCTCCCAGCCTTCGAACCTTCCCCTTGAGCTCGCATCCTCCTTAATGATGCTTCCTCTTTGGGCCCACAGAGCTGCTGGTGACGGAAGCAGCTCACGTGCGCATGCTACGGGTACTCCATGACCTCTTCTACCAGCCCATGGCGGATGGGGGCTTCTTCCCTCTGGAAGAGCTGCAGAACATCTTTCCCAGCTTGGATGAGCTCATCGAGGTGCACTGTGAGTGCCAGCCACAGCCCCCCTCCCTGGCCACATCCTGCCATCAGCTCCCTCCTTCCAGGCCTCCGTTGAATACCTGCCACAGTCTCTGACCTACTCCTAGGGCTCACACTCCCGACCCCCACAGCATCCACCCCAGAGGCACACACACACTGAACAAGCACGTGAAGTGGGTATGACAGCTTGCCAGCCCCACAAAGGACCAGACACAGCTGCAGCCTGAGCCAGCAGCCTCTCCGACCAGGCGTTTCCGTCTCCTGGGCTCCAACGTAACGCCTCCTTTCCTGTGTCCCCCACAGCCCTGTTCCTTGATCGCTTGATGAAGCGGAGACAAGAGAGCGGCTACATCATTGAGGAGATCGGGGATGTGCTACTGGCCCGGGTGAGGGTGCCCCTGCATGACCCCTGACACTGCCTCTTGGTCTTCTTCCCATATCCCCCAGCGGTCTGGGCCCCGGGCCTGTCCCACTTTAGGCTTCCATCTCTGTACAAGACTGTTTTTGACAGCCCCATCTGAGACCTTCCCGTGCCTGAATCTCCCTGCAGTTCGATGGTGCAGAGGGCTCCTGGTTCCAGAAGATCTCCTCCCGCTTCTGCAGCCGCCAGTCATTCGCTTTAGAGCAGCTCAAAGCCAAACAGCGCAAGGAGCCCCGGTTCTGTGCCTTTGTGCAGGTGCGGTGGGATGCAAGCCCCCAGGTTTGACGAAGAGTACAGTATGGTGTTCTGAGTGAGGGAGGAAGGCTAGAGCTGAACGCCGGCTCTTAGGAGAGAAGGGCTGTGGGCATGGCCCCGGGCCACCCCGGTGCTGTTCGGTTCCCTAGGAAGCTGAGAGCCGGCCCCGATGCAGACGCCTGCAGTTAAAGGACATGATCCCCACTGAGATGCAGCGGCTGACCAAGTACCCACTGCTGCTGCAGAGCATTGAGCAGAACACAGGTAGTCCCCAGGCCTTCCTCTGACCATGACCACTGAGTCGGGACATGCATGCCAGGGTGGGGGTTTACGCCTCTGGCCTTGCTTGCCTGCAGAAGAACCCGCGGAACGGGAGAAAGTGGAGCTGGCAGCTGAGTGCTGCCGTGAGATTCTGCACCATGTCAACCAGGCTGTTCGTGACATGGAGGATCTGCTGGTGAGCCCGGGAATGGCTCCACCTGGGACAGGGCATGGTGGGGACATACTTTCACCTTGCTCAGAGGTTTTGCCCCCTCAGGGTCAATGTCTGGGGGTCATTTGGCCCTTAGCATCTTCCTCTCAGGGTTACTGGAGGTCAGGTCTTGACCTCAGCTTGTCCCTTGGAAATTGGCCTTGCTTCGCTGCTTGCTCACCCACCTTAGAGTCACCGAGGGGCAGCCCCTGTGCCTACCTGGCTTTGCCCCTTGTAACCTCCCTCTCTCTGCCCCAGCGGCTCAAGGATTACCAGCGGCGCCTGGACTTGACTCACCTGCGGCAGAGCAGTGACCCTATGCTCAGCGAGTTCAAGGTGAACCCAGTCGCGTTTGCCTCCCCTCGGCTAACCTTGACCTTGCTGCCCAGGGGATTCTTACATATAACACAGCTGAGAATGCACCCAGGGAACATCTGTCCCCACCTGCCTCCCAGATGTGTGTCCATGGTGACCCTGGCTTCACCCCCGGTCCTTGGCTGTTCTGCTTGCTGCCTTCCCCTCCCTCTGTGTCCCCTCCTGACACTTAGCTGACCATGGCTCCTTCCCGCCTCAGAACCTGGACATCACCAAGAAGAAGTTGGTCCACGAAGGTCCGCTGACGTGGCGGGTAACCAAAGACAAGGCTGTAGGTGGGTGCTCCCTCTAGCCAGGGGAAGGAGGAGGCCTTGGGGTCATGGAGGTCCGGTGTGATCTTGCTGCCTCACCCACAGAGGTCCACGTGCTGTTGCTGGACGACCTGCTACTGCTGCTGCAGCGCCAGGATGAGAGGCTGCTGCTCAAGTCCCACAGCCGGACGCTCACACCCACGCCCGACGGCAAGACCATGCTGCGGCCTGTGCTCCGGCTCACCTCAGCCATGACCCGAGAGGTGGCCACTGGTGAGCGGGGGCAGGTCATCTGAGTGGAACTCTCTAAGAGCCATAGCGCCCACTCTGGAAAGAGACGGACTGAGGAAGGTCTAAGAGGCAGGAATGGGCAGGACTAAGGGTGGCAAACGTGGCGGCTTACACTGCCACTGCAAGATGAGTTTGAGGTCAGCCTGGCTAAAAATAGAGCCAGGCTTAGTGGCGCACACCTTTAATTCCAGCACCTGGGAAGCAGAGGCCAGCCTGGTCTACAGAGTGAGTTCCAGGTCAGCCAGGGCTACACAGAGAGACCCTGCCTCAAAAAAGAAAAAGAAAGAAACTAAAAATAAATAAAAATAGAGAGAACTGCCCGTATTTATAGAGAAGCATGGTCTGCCCCGTGGAGATTTTTCACAACGCTGGCTCCTATTCAGGAGTTATAGGTACTTGGGACAAAAGGCAGAACCCTGGGGCAGAGGGTTTGGCGAGTGTTGCTGAGAAGTTGTGCTAGGGCCACTGATGGTGGGTGGGGCTGCGGGAGGCTCTCTACAGGTCAAGGCAGCCTAGGCTCTGTGGCCCGGTGATCAGGGCTGTGGAGGAAGACCTTGGTATTAGCAGGACAGTGATTGTAAACTATATTACATAAGGGGAAAGTAGCAGTATGTCCCAAGAGGGGACATACTGGGAGCCCAGCTCCAAGCCCCATCTCTCCCCTCCGTATGCAGATCACAAAGCTTTCTACGTCATTTTCACCTGGGACCAGGAGGCCCAGATATATGAGCTGGTGGCACAGACCTCGTCGGAGCGCAAGAAGTGAGAGTCCCCGGGGATGGTGTGGAGGTGTGTGTCCTGCACGGGCTTAGTTGTGCTGAATGCCCCTGGTCTTGGCCTGTCTCCCCAGCTGGTGTGCCCTCATCACTGAGACTGCCGGATCCCTGAAGGTCCCTGCCCCTGCCTCCCGCCCCAAGCCCCGGCCCAGCCCAAGCAGGTAAGGGTCCAAAGGGAGCTGGAGAGCCAGGGAATGGAGACACAGTTTCCCTGTGCATCCCTGTCTCCATGCACACACGTGCATAAGCATGTATAAATTGGGTGTGTGCTGACTTCATCACAGCCGCCTCCTATCTCTAGGCCTCTGTCTCCTATTGTTCAGGCCTCCTCCAGCTATTTGTCCCCTGGCTCCTGCCACTCCCTGGGGGCCAGAATGTGGGGGTCACCCATCACTTTCCTCCCTAGCACCCGAGAACCCCTGCTCAGCAGCTCTGAGAATGGCACTGGAGGCCGAGAGATTCCTCCAGCTGATGGTAAGTCCCAGGGTCACCGGCTGGGGGAGGTCACCTGAAACCAGGCAGGATCTGAGCTGTCTTTGTCTGCCTGCCCAGCCCGGACAGAGCGCATCCTCAGTGACCTCCTGCCCTTCTGCAGACCAGGCCCAGAGGGCCAGCTTGCTGCCACAGCCCTTCGGAAAGGTAGGCCAGCTCTGCACCCTCCAGGCCCAGTTGTTAGCCAAACGGTGCCTCTTTGAACTAGAGAAAGGCTCCATCTCTCAGATTTCTGTGTCCACGAGTCAAGAAACTGCCCTGCCCACACCGTCCTGGGTGGCCCAAATCACTTTCTTTTCAGCTCCTCTCCCACCCTGGAAGCTGAGTTCAGCTTCCCCAACCTCAGGCCCCCTGCCCCATCCTAACCCTTTGGAATGGTATCTACCCTCATCCCCCAGCTCCCAGCTAGCCCTTGTCTTCAGCCCTCCTCACACATCCAGAGTCCCGAGCCCCTGCCTCTGTGACCCTGTCCCCGTTGCCTTGGCCAGTGCTGTCCCTGAAACGGCTCCTGTTGCCTGCTGAGGAAGACGGTGGACTGGGGCCTCCCCGGGATGGGGATGAGGTGCCTGGTGGTGGTCCCCCAGGCCCAGCGCAGATTCAGGAGATTCAGGAGAACCTGCTCAGCCTAGAGGAGGCTGTCAAGCAGCTAGAGGTATGCCTGGGGGCAGGGGACCTGGGGCAGGCCGCAGGAGGAAAGGCACCCTCACCTATGATCCCCTCCAGGAGTTAGAGGAGGAATTTTGCCGCCTGAGACCCCTCCTGTCTCAGCTTGGAGGAACTCTGTCGCCCAACCTGGCTGCACCTGAGCGCTCTGTTCAGACGGGTGAGTCAAGAGCTGGGGCCGGGGTGCTGTTCTCGGCGGGTGGGGGGGTGAGGGGGTGGGCTGCCCTGTCCCACAGTCCCCTGTCTGCCGCAGTCCTGTCCCCTGCCTATCTCTACTCTCAGCCCCTTTCCTACATCTCTTCTTGTCTCCCTCTTGTAACCCTCAGGCCTTTCATGAAGAGAGGAATGGGGGAAGGATGCGAGGGTCCCCCACCCCCACGGCTGCCACGGCGTCTCACACCCCAGAGGCCTTGCGAGAGGGAGACTGGCCACACTCGATAGGGGACCTGCCGGAGTCCCTGCCTCCCACACTGGCCTCTGCCTTTCTCCCTCCTGCCTTCGCTTGGGGGACTCAGGGCTTCACCCCCAGAGTACCACCAGAATCCCCATTTTTCAGGCCATCTCAGTATTGCCTATGAGGGGGTTACCCCTCCATTCCCACGCCAAGTGCCTTTGCTCTGTTTTTGTACCCTGAATTGGAGTTTTATTTTTAATATATATTATCTAAGGAGAGGTCTGTGTGTGTGTGAGGACAGTGGGGCCCCATGTCTGGGTCTGACCCATGTCTCCTCCGTGACTCTTGGCTCCTTTCAGGCTGTCCATCCATTCATTCTCTTGTCTTACAGTTTTATTTAGTATATTGTGGGTGGGGTACACGTGTGCCATGTCAGGACAGATGTGAGAGTCGGTTCTCCTTCCTCCATCGGGGTCCTGGAGGCCATCTTGCTGTCCCGATTTACTTAAAACAGTGGCCACACACACACACACACACACACACACACACACACACACACACGCACACGCTATGAGGTGCCCACTCCCCACCCCCCTAATTTGGAGCCCCATGGTCATCCAAAATGCCAGGTAGCCCACATCTCACACTCTTGTTCTTTTATTTTTGTAGTAAACTCTGGAAGAGGCTGTGGGATTTCAAGGGGAGTCAGTGGGGAGGGGGCCCCTCCTGGGTGGGGGCTGGGGGCGGGGTTATTGCTCTGAGCTCCCTGTCCCCAAGGGGGCCTGTGTAGGAGGATTTCAAGAGAGGGGGCCAGCATTGGATTGGGGACACCGCCACACAAACACGCAGGTCACAGCACATAGGAGGTCAGGGGAGGCTGGGCGCCATATTGCACTTTGAGAGTGGGGCCAGGTGGTTATCCCCTTCAAATTGGAACCTGGGGAGAGACTGGGGGCCATCCTATCCCTCCCCACTCTGGAGAAGGTGTGACTCCACTCAGGGTTTGGAGGAGATGGCCGGGAGGATGTCATGGGCTGGTCCTGGACCTTGGGCTGGTAGTAAGGGCAGACCAGACTGCCCTGGTCACCAGCGGCATCCACCCTGCACCCGCTCAGCTGCCATTTCCCCCTTTGCCTGACTTGATCTTGGGGGACACAGGCAGCCCCTCATCCCCTTCACTGTCAGAGCTGCAGCCGCTGACGTCGGTGATCTCCAGCTCGGAGTCGCTGTCCTCCTTCCCACCCAGGGTGGCCTCTGGACCTCCAGCCCCGGGCAGGGCCAGACGAGGGGCCACTGCCAGCCCTGAGGGGCGCTCAGGGCCCAGGCCCTCCCCCGTTGCGGCAAGCAGGGGTGCAGCCATGGGACCTCCCCCTGCCCCTGCAGAGGGCAAGTGGCCCAAGGAACCCAAAGGGTTAGGGTAGAAGTGAGGTGGGTAGAGAGAGGGGGGCAACTTGGGGAAGGGGCCCGTGAGGTATGGGTTAAAGTTCCAGGGGTACTCGGGGAAGGCGCGGCCGTAAGGACCCAACAGGCCGGGAGGCTTGGAGTAGCCGGTGGCACCTGGTGGGGGAGGGACATAGGGAGCAAGTCAGGCTGGCCCACTGGCCATTGGGAGCCTGCCTGCCTGCCTGCGCAGTGGGTGTACCTCTTAGGAGCTCTCCCTCCCCTGTGTACTCCACCTCGCCTCTGCTTCACCTCCCCCACTTTTCTCTTCATCCCTTTAACCTGCCTCCCCCAAACCCCTCCCTGCCAAGTAGCCACATACACCCCCACCCCATAAGCTGCTCAGCAGCATCGTTTCTGCCTTGATTTGTCTTCTGAGATGTTCCAATTACATAAGCCTAGTTGGCCTCCAACTCATAATCTCCCTGCCTCAGCCTCCTGAATGCTGGGTCCCCTGTAGTCCAGCTTGACACTGACCTGATCTTGCAGCTCCTGTGCCCCTTGTGCTGGGATTGCGGGTGTGTGCACCACACCCAGCTACTTCCGTGTTGAGAACCTGAGGCTTTGTGCAAGCTGAGCTACATTCTCACCCCCCACCCTGGCTTTTAAACACATGTACCCACCGAGAGACTCCAGACACCCCAGCCTGGGCATCCCCCTGCAGTCCTCTCTTTCCACGTGAGCAGATCCCCCCAACCCCCAGGCCCTTACCAGAACCCAAGAATGGGAAGGGGCTGTCCAAGCGTAGTTTATCCGTCTCTGGGGCGAATAGGGGTGTCCGACCCCCTGGCTCTCCTAGGCGTGGGGTAGAGAACAGGTTCTGCAGGGTCTGGAGAGGGAAGTAGGGAGGCAGTACTGCTTAGCCCGCTTTGTGGAGAGGATCACAATGTAGGGGACACTAGACACCCCACTTCCAGCCCTAACACACCAGTATCCAAACTCACCTCAGGAGTCAGGGGTGGAGCATCTGGCCCAGGCGCCCCCCCAAAAGGGCCAGGGGTCAACAAGAGTGGGGAGCCGGCGGCGGCGGCAGCCATATCCAGCAGCGGGTAATTGACAAGCACAACTTTGCTGAAGTTGAATTTGTAGGTGAACCGCTTCCCTTTGGTCTTGTGGAGAATGCGCTTGTTGTAGTAGTAACTGTGGGAGAGAGGATGGGGTACTGGGGAGGGGCAAGGGAGGGTGAGGCAGCAGCTGGGCTCAAGTTCTTGTCGCCACCCCCCACCCAACTTCCACTCACAAGTACTGGGATCCAATGGGATTCAGTCCTAGGATACGGAGGGAGCACCCCCACCTTTTAGGGGGACCAGAAGGGACAGTGGAGGGAGAAGAGAGCATGATGGGAGCCTGGCCCACAGCCCCTCCTCACCGCAGGGCCCGGCTCAGCTTGTCATAATTCATGTGGGGCTTGCACTTGCGAATGCCCCAGAGGCGGGCCACCTCATCAGGGTCCTTGATGACAAATTCCCCATAGTCCCCTTGCCAGGCAATGACGCCCTGGTACTCCTCCTTCTGCAGCAGCTCCAGGATAAAGTGCCACAGCTGGATCTGCCTCGAACCAGGGGAAGACTCCGGCTTGTAGGCCCAATCTGGAAAGGCAAACCCTGGAGACACAAGACAAGGAGGCCTTAGGGTTAGGAAGCTGAGATGGGGTTCTGGGTCTCACTGGAGTCCACAGCCTGAGACATTCAGTCTCTAAGGAGCATCTTTTTTTTTTTTTTTTTTTTTTTTTTGTGCTTTAGGAGTTTTATTTCAGAAATTCAGAGCAAACTGTTGACAAATGAATGGAGATAGTTTATAGTTTATAATGGATATCATGGATAGTTTAATACTTAGAGAATAATTGAGCTAGGAAGAATGTGGTTATGAGCACTATTGTTAGTCAGCACATCTTCATCAGTGGGCAGGTGAAGGAAAAAACAACTGCATTATTCAAGGTTCTCTACCTGAAAAGGACTAATAGAATGAATCTCTCTATGTAGGAAGAAAGTGGGTTTATTAGAATGTCTCACAAACTGTGGTTTAGATAGTCCATCAATGGCTGCTACCGATGGAAATTTGAAGAATTCAGTAGTAGTTCTGTTCATGAGGCTGTGTGTCTCAGCTGGTCTTCAGTATACACCACAATTCTAAGGAAGTATGCTCTAACGCTGGTAAAGTGGTGAGCTTGGTAGTCAGAGCTAGGGAAAACGGTAGCTTCCTCCTTCAGTGTCCTTTATATATGTACGCTGTCACCAGAAGGTGTGATCAAGATTAAAGCTGGATCTTACACTTTGTTTTTTATTTATCTATCTATTTATTTATTTGGTGTTTTTGAGAAAGGATTTATCTGTGTAGCCCTGGCTGGCCTCAAACTCCGAAAATCCAACCGATTCTGCCTCTCGAGTGCTGGGCTTCATGGCGTGCACAGCCACTAATCAGATGAAGGTGGATATCACCTCAAATGATCTAGATTAAATTAGGTCTTTAATTTCAAGACCTTCCCCCCCCCAAAAAAAAAAAAAAAAAAAAGAAGAAGAAGAAGAGGAGCATCTTTAGGGATCTGTGTGTCACTCTTCAGACCTACCCTGCTCACGTCTGCTCCTAAGTTACCTAAACCTCTGGAGAGAGCCTCTAGGCTTGTGCTCCCATCGTGCCTTGGTGAATCATCCCAGGCTCAGCCAAGGAAGGGGAGAATGGAATTGAGAGGGACACATTTCCTGCATCCATGGCTGTCTCTGGGGGAGTGGCTGAAAAGGGCGCACCCTCCGCAGTGATCACCCTTAACCCTGCTACCCTGTCAGAAGGCCTTTGATACTTCCCCTGTCCTGATCGCTCTCGCCATCGGCCCATTCCCTGAGGCCCCGCTGGCATCACCCTGGTGCACACTTAGCCTATATGCGTCTGTGCAGTTCCCTTTAGTGTGTCCCCTCCCACGTCCACACTTCTCAAGCTTTCCAATGTGAGGTTGTGTGTCAACATGCAGGCACAGACCTATAGGTGCCCATGTGGACAGCATATCACACAGCCACTTGCAATCTTATCCCACGGGACACAACCACACCCAAGTGCCACACTCCTGCTTGGGGCCACTGAAGCAAACACCAGATACAAGCTGCATAAGATATATAGAGCCCCAAACCTCAGCATTGCACATCCATTGCAACATGCACAATTATAAGCTAAAGGCCTCTGTCGGGACCCACTGACAAGTGTGTGACAAAGAGATGCATGGGCCCAACAGCCCAGCTAACACCTGATGTGATAGAGACAACGAAGCAATGATGCTAAAGTCCTCAGATAGACAGATGGACACATGCAAGGTAACAAAAACAACTGAACAACTTCCCTTCCCATGACCACACTCAGGCATGTGAATGTCAACACACCCATGGCCCACTTGGCATTACTTCACCCTGGGAGGAGTATCTGGCTCCACTCTCCACCTAGAAGCCAGGAGCAGAGATCTTGCCCACCCCGGTCTTCCCAATCTAGAAAGCTCTGGGTCCCAGTGTCCACACCAACTCCTATATCATCCTCCGTCTCCTCCTACCTGCCCAGAGATTGGCATGCCCAGCATGAACACACGGGTTAAATCTGGTCTCTAACAAGCTGAGAGCAATGCAAGAGGAAGGGGAGAATGCTAGGGAAGCCATCATAAAGTGGGATATGGGAGGGACTGTGTTGAGCTGGGAGACCTGGGTCCCTGTACCCATTGCTGTGCATCCAGGGGGAAGTTCCTTGCCCTCTCTGGTGTCAAGGGCAGGAGGCAAGGAGGAGCAGAGCCCCACCCAGGCTACCCTCCGGTATGTAAGTGATGCCCTGCCTGCCGAAGGATAGGTGGCTCTTGTCCCCATGGAAGATGAATTTCAGTCTGGGCCATTCTCTCCTCAGGTGCCATGAGCAGTCAGTCTAGATGGACACTGGCCTAGCTGTACTCATAGCACGCTTCCTTGGGAAAGCCACTGTATCACAAACATGTTTGCACAGCCACAAAACAAGAAGGAATCCAATGGAGAGAGAGAGGGCCGGCCTGCTACAGCAGGCTGACATGGACAACCCCCAGAACCTAGCAGTGGGAGGCACAGAGAAACACAGTCCAAAAACCAAGCCTAGATCTCGATATACAGGCCCAGGGCCATCTACTCACACACTCCAAAATATACCTCAGATACCTGCTGAGAATGCCACGGACTACCAGAGACAAGCACAGTCTCCTTTCCCCGCCAAGGCAGAGGCCACAGCACACAAGCTGGCAGATGCCGAATGTTTACATGCACGACCCTGAAATCTGGAGTCCAGAGTGGCTCCTGTGGCTCCGTGGTCCAGTCTGCAAAGCAGACACAAGTTCACACAAAGACAGCCTCCTGCAGACGCTTGCCCTCTCTGACCCCTTCAGGGACACTGAAGTGTGATGCATGCGAACACTCCACAATGAAACTCCAGGCAGCCAGCAGAACGGATAGTCGGTGTCAAAGACTCGCTCCTATCAGTGACCCCTGCATGCCCAAGCAGGTCCTCCTCCCTTGGCCTGAGCACCACACTCACCTCCTCGCATTCTCTCTTCAGACTGTGCCCCTCCTCTTGTGCCTAGCCTAGAGCTCAGCGGAGCAGGTCCTGGGGAGGTGCAGGCTTAGGTATACATGGCGGAGAAATCTCAGATCTCAGCCCCCCCTCAGTTCTCATCCCTCTCGACACCTCACCCATCCTCCAAAAGAACCTCAACCCTTGTGTCCCAACAAGCAGGTGGCAGGGAGAGAGGACCGTGAAGTTTCTGGTCAAGTTTCTCATGAAAGGGTTTGTATTCAGGGGACTGATGGAGACCCAGACAGACAGGTTCACAGATGCACAAGACAGACAGATGGGGAAGAGGGAAAATAGGGAAGGGGGTGCGGCCCCTGGGAAGGGGAAGGGCTGTGGAGATGGACAGGACAGTTACCAGGGGTCCAGAGAGCCGGCAGGGCAGGCGGGGCGAAGAGAAGGTCTGAGACGCAGCTACAATCCATGGCGGAGTGAGCCCTGCAGAAGCCCGGACAGGACAGCAGGAGAGAAGCAGTCAGCCAGTGGGGTGCTGCGGGGCTCCCCCTCTCCCAGGCTCTCAGTCTGATGTCAGCCACCCAGCTGCCCTCAGTCCCCACTCCCTCCCTAGCGGCAGCCCTGGTGTCCCTGACTAGACACTTTCCCACATCCCCCTCTCTCTGGTCCAGCCATTCACTCGCAGGTTCTCAACACCCTCCACCCACCCTGATGCCCCACACCCCATCTCTTGCTATCCTGTCTCCCGCCTGACCTCTGGGGGAGTAGGGGGTTGGTCCCTGGGTCTTTGGGTCCTCCTATCTCCCTCTGTGCGTGGCTCTTTCCAGCTACTTCAGATTTATCGCTTGCTCGGAAACACAAACTCGCCCCCACCTGGCTGACCCCCGGCAGCTGCCTCTGTGGCTCACACTGCAGCAGTGGCCAGCTCAGAGATGGCAGAGCTGGGTACTGCTGGCCAGGCTGGGAGGAGCAGGCCCAGCTCTTGCCTTTCTTCCCCAGGTAGACACTACCCCCCACCACCCCTAGTCTGTCATCTGAGCCCACAGACCCCTGCCTCAAACCCGCCGCTCACCAAAGGTTCTCCATCCATCCTTTCCCCTTAGAATGGCCTTCCCCTGCTCAGGCAACCCTTCTAGGAGCTGCACCCTCCCCCCCCCCCACAGCCCTTCCCCTCAGACCAGTCCTTTCCTTTCCTCCCACAGTAGAGCCACCCAAGCCTGCCTGCGGACTGATCAACGGAACCCATGGACGCCTGCCTCAAACCTGCTGCTCAAAGGAGGTTCTCCAGCCATTCCTTCTAAGACCAGCCAGCCTCCCCTCTCAGATACTCCCTCCCTGCAGAGAGTCTCCCCCCTCAGACACCTGTCCACTCAGATTGGCATTTCCCTCCGATTGGCATCCTCACTTAGATACCCCTTCCTCAACTGGATACCGCTTCCTCTGGCATCGCCTCCCCCTTAGAACATTCTTTCCCCTTGGACCTTCCTCCTCCCTGAAAGGCCCCTCAAATCCCCACTCCCTCAGAAACCTGTTCCGTAGATACCTCGCCCCTTTCTGAGCGCTGCCCTTCAGACACCTTCCCCTTTAGCCATCTGCCCCCCTCACACTCACTGCAGACACCCTCAGAAGAGACCTCGTTTAGCCATCCTGCCTGCACTCAGAGATCCCACATGCCACACCCACCCTTCAGACCTAGCGCTGTATTCCCTCAGACACCCCACCCACTAGGTCTTCTCACTCCCGCAGTTCTACAGACGTCCACACACCTCTCCCTTACCATATAGCCATAAACCCCACCTCACCCCTTGGATACTTCTGTCCTCTCTCCCAGTATCCAGTCTTCCCTACACCTCCTCCAACCCTTCCTTGGCCTCCTGGGGTCTCCCCTGCCAATGGACATCCCTCCCATACTCCATCTCTCTGGGAGCCCTTCTTTATCTCTTTTTCTCCCTCTTCGTTTCATCCTCTCCCTGCACTTGGCCTCTCTTCCCTCCACCTGGAGTGTCTTCCCGAATCTCTCAACTCTCTACTCCCATTTCTCTCTCCCTGCGCCCCCCCCACGGCTGTCTCCTGCTCCCCTACCCCTATTTCCTTCTCTACCCCCCACTTTATCCATCTCCCCACGTCTCTCTGTTTCCCCCATCTCCTCTCTCCCTCATCTGTCTACCTCTCCCTCCTCCTCTCTGCTCCCTTCCTCTCAGCCCCGCCCATCCCGTCTCTCTCCCGTGTGTCTCCACCGTCTCCCTATCTCTCTCCCCACACTCACCCCCCATCTGACTCCCCCTCCTGCTCTCGCTGCTTCTCTGGGTCCCCCCTCCTCCCTCCCCCACCCCCACCCCCCATTGGCCCCTCTCATTTCCGTGTTGGTTTTGATTTCTCTTCCCAACGCTTTCAACTCCCCGCCGCCTCCTCCGGACACGTTATAACGAGGAGCCGTGGGATCGGCGCTCCGGGCCCTGCTCCCACGCTCCCCCCGTCGTCTCTCACACACATCTCTGCCTTCGCGCAGTCTCTGCCGCCACTTTTTCCCAATCTCTCCTGTGTTTGGTCTCTGTCCTGTGTGTGTCACGTCCTCCCTCCCCCCTCCCGGCCCTCAGGACCTGGTCCTAGCCCCTCCAGCTGGGTCCCTGTCTCCATCCATGACTAGCATTTCTCCGGGTCTCCACCCCTCTGTATGTCCCTGGGTCTCTGGGTCTTTAGTCTCCACATGGCTCCTTTCTCCATTTCTGGATCTCCACATCTCTGCCTCGCTACCCGAGTCTCTGCTTCTTGCAAAGTCCCCATCTCCATGTCTCTGTCTCTCTTTCAGTCCCAGTGTCCCTCTCTTGGGACCCCTTTGATCTCACCATGCCCCTGGCACCCCCCTGGCCCCATTGATTGCTGATCGACCCATGGAGGAAGTAGGGCTTGCGGCCTGGGGCTATAGGGCCAGGCAGAAGCTTTGGCGGAGCCACTGGACAGATGGACAGACGGACGGACGGACGGCCCCAGCCCCAGTGGCTGAGGAGGGGGAGCAGCCGCATCACGTGCCCCTCCCCACCGGCCGGCACAGTGCGGATGGGGACTCCGGGCAAGCTTTAATTTTTAATTTTATTTTGCTTCCTCCACCCCCCCTCACCCCCATCTCTAGCGCCCGCAGCCATGGCACCGAATGTGTGCGCGTGTGAGGCAGCCTGTTGGAGAGAGGCTGGGCAGGCAGAGGCTGCCTCCCTCTGCTTCTTGCCAAGCACAATCACACAGACCCACACCTACTGCAAGCACACAGCTCACATCACACAGGCCAACAAAGTCACACATACACCACCATCACATACAAACACACATTGTCTAGATCAACAGACCCACAGTCACACGCAACGGGCACAGCGCAACCCACACACATCATTGAAGTTGCGCATGGCAGCAACATTGTCATGTACAACAGTAACAGACACACGATCTGAGTAGACTGACGCATATTAACACGGGTACATAGTCACTCACCGGTGCTCAGAAATACAGAAACGCAGACCTTCAATCAGAGGCACACCATCGCTCACATAGTGCCATAGAGAAACAGAGACACACCCAGACACACAGACACACAGCAGCACAACAAGTCAGCAACACACAGAGTCACATGGACAGGCACCTGAGGCCCTCCATCAAACACACACATTGGGTCCCAGGCAGACAGACACACAAAACGCCCCTGACAGACTGCCACGGCCGGATGGCAAACTCGGGTGGCCACACTCATCGCAGACACATAGGCACAGTCATAGTCCCCAAAATGATCAACACAGTGGGGAACCTGCAGGCAGCCCCCACCCCCAGAAAGGGGTGGGGGCCTAAGTGCTAAGCTCGGCTGTGTGGGGGTGCCCACTTAGAAGTAACTGACAGCATCATCACTGTCTCTGCCACCATGGGCCTGTCTGTCCATCATCTACGGATCTCTTCAGCATTTCTGTGTGTGTGTGTGTGTGTGTGTGTGTGTGTGTGTGTGTGCGTGTGTGTGTGTGTGTGTTCAAAACGTATGCTTGCCTCATCCCATCTTCAGTCATGTCCTCCCCCTCGTTGTCTGTCTGTCTGTCGCTGGGGGTCTTTTGTTGCTCATCCCCGTGTGTTTCTATCTAGAGACGTTCCCATCTCTCTGTAGCTTTGATTCTGTCTCTGGGTACATCCCTGTCCCTCTTGGCCTCTGGGCCTCTCTGCCTCTGTCTGCTCACCCCATCACCCCAGCCCCCTGGGCTGGGGTTTAACCAGTTGTTTTGATTTCTCTAAGCTGCGCTGGCCGCCTCGGGAGCCGCCTCAGGCCTCACACCGCCCCCAGCCCCTTCATCCCTCACCCAGGGCCCCCCACCCCCACCTCCTCTTAACACAATCTGCACAAGTGGAATGAAAATTGATTTTTTTTTTAAATTTCATATCTTCTCCGGGGCTCTGTCTAAAGAGGAGAGAGACGCGGCCCAAGACCCCTCTCCCACCACTGCCCCCACATACACACACACACACACACACACACACACACACACACACACACCCTGGAGCATGCACCCTTCTTCACACATGCCTGTGTGGACACATTTGTGTACACAGTAGAGATGCACAACGATGCTGCTCTGTCATGGGCATCCCTAGATCATACGCACCCCTAGATCATAGGCATGCTGCCAGTCCCTGGCTAGGATGAACCCTTCTACATAAACTGTACACCCTTGTCCCACCCAGTACAGGGCTGTGGTCCCTGTAGTCACACACAACACGGGTGCCTGTGCTCAGCACATGCTCTAGCCATGTCTTGTACATACAGAGCTATGCTCAGGGACTGTCCCACCACAGGCAGCAAGCTACCTATGGCTGCTCTGGCAAAGAAGGGGTCTGGAAGCGGCTGTCACACCAGTGCCTGCCACCCTTACCTCCAGCATCACCCAGTTCCCAACCCTGCTCTCTCAACCAAATGCTCTGGCCTGGCCCTTAGGAGGGAGTGACTCTGTGCCACCACTCCAGACGACTTCGCAACCCATGTGCCACACACACCATATACACACTACACACATGCAACATACCATACACACAATATATACATACTATACATACACCACACACCATGTGCAGCGGATTGCACATGCTCCACATGCGTGCTATACACACACCATACACCATATACACACTACACCATGGACGAGACTATATGCTCCTTCTATATATCATACATAGCACATGACATACATTAAATATACCACACCACACTCCCATGCAACATATACATGAATACCACATACCTCATGTCATGTATCTGCCACATACCATACATCTACATACTCATGACACCCCCCATGTACACCACATACATACTATACACACAGACCACATAGAAACCATATACCACACAAAGACACATTCCACATGGTATGTGTGAAACCACACATATACCTTATTCCAAATACCACAACTACCACATACCATCCATCCTATCCCCATATTACATACAGATACCACAT